ATCAGGTCTACCAAAACTTACAAAATTTTCGCAAAATTATGCAAAATTACGGTAATTTTACAACCCTAAACACAATAAGCAACGTCAGGTGTTAACTTCAAGCATCATACCGGTAGAGTTATTTTGGTTTTGTAAAAATTCTTAAAAAAATTATTTGATGAATAATCATTTAATTTCATTCATGTTTATTAGTCTGAGTATAAAAATAAATTTCATTTAAATTTATGAGTCGCGCGAATAACGCGTAGCAAGAATAATACGAGTGGTGAATGGTGTGAGGTATGACTATATGATCGATCACTTATCGACCAGCCATACTCAAAAAAATTTTTGTTAAGATTGGTCAAATGATCATTCCCTAATTGATCATCTCTACGATCACCTATTTCTTCTTCTTTCTCTTTCTCTTCTTTTTCTCGCAACATACCTGCGCCTCGATGACGATGAGCTCGATGAAGAATCAGACGATGAATCCGATGATGAGCCAGATGAATCTGAAGATGAATCTGACGAAGAATCTGATGAACTACTACTTTGTAGAGCATGTTTCTGCGCCATAAGCAATTTTTGCGCGTTCTATAAAATGTTATAAATAATGTTAAAAACGTCAATAAATAATAAATGATATTGTTAAAATCAATATAAATTTAACAATAACCTGTAAATGTTCTCTTAACTCATCAGTTAATAAACCTAAACCAATACTAGTGAAATAATTAATTGCGAAACGAGTATTTCGTGGATTGTCCTTTGGAAATAGACCAGTAAAATATTCCAGCATTGTGCTATCTTTTAATCTTTCTTTAAGTTTTTGTAAACCTAAAGTACCACTCAGCTCTTCAAATAAAATTTTTACAAAGATTCGAGAACTTGATGTGGTATCGTCTTCGGTTAATTTGATAATATTAAACACTTGCCAGGACAAAGCGTCGGATGCCAAAAGGTGCCCGAAAAACTTTGAAACATTTCGTAACCTATTTGTTTCATAACGATGAATTGTCTCATAATATTGGACAAAACACTGTTCAAAAGCTTTGGCCCACACTAGATTTATTTTTGCGAGACGTTCTCCAATTAGTCCAAAAAATTTTTCATAAGTTCGCTCTTGAGAACAACATTCGATAATCATGTTGCAGAGTTCCATCTGAATAAAGGATTTAAAAAGGTTTTAGAAAAACCTCACGATTATTATGACAATTAAAATAGTTGTAAAGCGTTGATACTTACTTCCTGTCCTTCCTGAATACTAAGTTTCATGAGTTTGTGACAACATTCTTCAAAATCAACACTCGACTTGATAGTTAAATATATTGTCCTACGCAAATTGATCAAATTTGTATTTGTTTGATCGCGAATTTCCACTTTTTTTGCAACTTTTAATATTAAATAAAATGAAAAATTATATCAGTTGTAAGTGTAAGAAAACAAAGATCAGGATATTAATATATGAGGTCTTTGCTAGGAAAATGACCCTCCGAGGCTATGTTGATTTTGTGAATAGAAATAAATATGCCGGCCATCTAGTCATCTAATTCGAATGATCTTTTTTTTTTATTTTGTAGAGTTTATTTAGCTTAACAAAAAAAAATAAAAAAAATAAAAAAATAGGTTCATTCAATTGGATAACTAGACGGTTGGCAAATTTAATTTCTCGGAGGGTCATTTTCCCAGCAAAGATCCCATATATATATATACTGTATATATATAATTTACCTTCTTCTTCATCACTGCTTTCATCGCTTTCAGAACCAGATTCATCTTCTTCATCTCCGGAATCCTCGCCTAAAATTTGTGCTTTGATTTCTTTGTATTTCTCTTCATTTACTAAATAATCGGGATCATAGTTAAAAATACCTACACAAGGACATTAAAAAATATAACGCGTTATAAAATATGCCTATAATAAAATATGTTTATAAATAAATAAATAAATATATGTATATATATACAAACCAAGAGTTTCCTCGACATCCAATTCATCATCCAACGATAAATGATGAGTTATTTGATCATCCTCTTTGACTAAATCCAATTCGGGAGCTATTGGAGGATTATCTTTATATTTATCCTTCCTTACTTGAAATAAGACTTCAATCATATATTGTGTTTAGGGTTGTAAAATTACCGTAATTTTGCATAATTTTGCGAAAATTTTGTAAGTTTTGGTAGACCTGATTTCATGTAACTAAGAAATAGTGTTTTGATCCGGGTGGGTGTTGGGTTGTAACAACCCGAGTGGTCAACCCACAGATCAACCAGTGGTTGACCCATGGGTTATTTTTAATATTGCTATCTTTTTCTTATTTTAATCTTTGGATAAATGTATAAGTCGCACCCTGCGATGTGCTTATACATCGCATGTATATACAAATTATAAATTGTCGACTTAAAAATAAAAAAAAGAACTTAGATGTTTAGTTAGGATTAGAGTTAGATAGGGTTAGGGTATAAAAGAGATCTTATAGTAAAAGTTCTCAAGGAATTTTTATTGTTATAGCGCGAAAGATAGTTTCATATGTGAAATTTTGAGTTATAAGCAACTTTTGACAAAACGAACGTTTGTTTTGAAATTTCCTGATCGTGCTACGTTACACGTAATCTTGAAATTTGATTGGTCAATCATTATAATGCGATATATAAGCACATCGCAGGGCTGCGATGCCTAATTAAATCCTTAATCTTTTAGTATGGTGCGAACGGCTTAATCACATCCAACAGCTAAGCCACCGCTGAAATTTATGCTGATCTTCACGTGATTATTAACCAATCAACTATCACGAATCATATAGATTCTCCTTTGTAAAAAAAAATTTTAGAATAGATTTTACCCGCAAATTTCCAAAAAAAAAATAAATGAACATAAAAGACGAGCAAGGCTAGGCCAATATTTTCCGGTTGAAAAATTTTTATTAAAAATTTACTACAGTTAGACCCCCCTAAGTGACGTTTTTTTTTGGGCCTAACTAATATTATATCTATAGATTTTTACTTCCCTAAATGCAATACCACTCTAAGTGCATGTTTGACTAAACTAAATTTTATATATGGTCCTGTGGCATTTAGAAAGATCTGACTGTATATGGAAGTTTCAAGTTTCATTTTCTTATCTCACCTTTTTTAATATCTTTGTTAGTTACCACTAAAATCGTTTTCACCAAAATCAATCATTTTCATCTAGTATCGTCACCAAAATCGTTCCCATCTAGTATTGCCACTAAAATCATTCCCACATAGTATTGTCACCAAAATCAGGTATGTAGGCTACTTTTACTTAAAATTCAATCTAAGCATTAGTATAAGACTTATGAAATCACAAGATTATTGAGAAATAATTGAAGCATTTTTTATTTATTTGAATGATTTGATCGACAATTTGGTTGACAATAACAATTTATTTGGTTATTGCCTCAAATTTTGAATCTATTACTTTCATATAATGTTGGAATGCTGAAGGTCTCTGGCAATATGATAAAAATTATATAATTATGAAGAGAAAAAGCCAATATCTCATCTTGCAATCAAACCAATTTTAATAATTCTACCACTATTAGGACCGGAATAGCTTGCTCTATAAAATTTGGTAAAAACTCAAGAAAGGTTATCTTAGTATAAAAAACTGTTTATTGTAAATTAACTGTAAGATTATACTGTTTGATAGAGTTTCTACCTTTAGCTGATTTTAAATACTATTCAAATATTTTCATTTCATCTCTAGGTATTTTAAAACTATTTTAATAACACCAACCAAGTTTATTTTGTCCTTGAGAGTTCCTGCTTCTTGCAGATTTTAAGTACAATTCAAGCACTTTCTTTTCATTCTTAGAAGTTCCTAGACTATTCTGATAACATTGCCAAAGACTACATTGACTGTTAGAATTCCTATTTTCAAAAAATTTTAAAGAAAAATTATATTAACTTTTGACAATTTCTACTATTAAATATTTTTATATCCTTTAACTAAAATTTACTTTTTAAAGTTGTTAACAGGTTGGCCGGATTGATTCAATCTTAAACCCACACTAAACTTACTCTAGATTATTTCAGACTGCTTCAGATCTGCTCTGAGTTGCTCCAAATTGATTTTGATAACTATTGTAAATATGTATCTGGTTAAGCTTAATAAAAAAAACAATGTCTTTTCTACAAAGCACTTTAAAGTGTATAAATTACCTGGGCAATCATGTGGGTGGATTTTGTCAATTCTGGTGATTCCGATATTAAATATTCAAAATATAAAAAAATTGAATTGTATAGATTATATAATTGGTTGATTGGTTAATTGTATATTTGCTTATGCACAACAAATTTTTATTATTAGGGAGTGGTTATATAATTCTATTGTATCACTTAATTTGAATGATCACAATACTCCCATCAAAAATTTTCGTCTATACGTCGATTTATATCTGTTTACACCTTTTTGAACCAAATTAGGAAATATTCAGAAAAAAGACTTTCAAGGAATCATGTAACAATATCAGAATATTTCCTAATTTGGATGATCTCCTGAAAATCAATTGATCATTGCTATTTTCAAATATTATTTAACATTCTTAGTTTTAGACAGTTTTTAGTTTTAGCATTAGATAGAGGTGTTAAAAGTTCAAGTCTGCTCAACTCAGCTTAAAAGTTGAGTAAACTGACTTAGAAGCCAGTTCCGAGTTTAACTTAGCATGTCACATGATATTGATAATATGCAGAGATAATTATGCAAGGAGTGATTATGCAGGAGTAAATATGTAGGAGTAATTATGCAGGGGTAGCAGATGTTATCATGTGATAACAGTTTTTTAATGGCTTACAGCTTAACAGCTTAATGGCTTTTAATAGCTAACAGCTTAACGGCTTTTAATGACTAACAGCTTAACGGTTTTTAACAGCTAACAGCTTAATAGTTTTTAACGGCTAACAGCTTAACGGCTTTTAACGGCTAACAGTTTAACAGCTTTTAAGGTTAACAGCTTAACGGCTTTTAAGGTTAACAACTTAACGGCTTTTAACAGTTTGTATTTTTTTTAAAATAGTTTTGAAGCTTTTTAATAGCATTAACAGTTTTAATGGCTAATGGCTTTTAACAGTTATTAACGGCTATTAATGATTAATAGCTTTAACAGCTTTTAACAGTTTATATTTTTTTTACAATAGCTTCGAAGCTTTTAATAGTTTAACAGTTTTTAACAATTTGCTTTTTTTTAAAAAACCATATCTTTTACTTAACAGCCTTTAACGGTCTTTAATGACTTTTAGTAACTTTTAATAATTTTTACAATAGTGATGCCAATCGATTGGATCAAGTATAGTTGATTGTGCAGTATATTTTTTGGTACACTTCGAAATTGTTAAAAATGTTACATAAAAGAAAATCTAATCGTATATTGTAATTGTTAAAATTAAGTGATATATGTACATAATTATTGTCACAGATCATAATTTAAAATGAAATCTACATTTTCTACTCAACCTGTTAACCTTCTAAAACTCACTTATACTTGTTTATTATAACTTTACTTTAAAACTAACCCTAACCCTAATCCTTATCCCTAAAAAATGCACCCCAAAAAATTTTATTTTTCGAGATTTTATATTATAATTTCATTTTGATCTGGATTTCA